ACATACAACATATATAAGAAATGGGTTTTTTATTAGTGAAATGGGTTTTTTCACAGCTCTTTTACATTTAATAATTTAAGTTTTGCAAATGTAAATTTTTGTTCAACTTATTATTTAGTCAAGTGATTATCAATTAGATGATTTTTTAGTATTACAAAACAATTTTGAGTAACAAAAATTATGAAAATCAATCAATAACTCTTTTTAATGCAGAGTAGACAAATCAGCCCATATGAGTTGTGATTATTATGTAGTCCAAATATATTTTAATAAAATGGTATATAATTCAACATATAAAAAAAAAAAATTTTATTTTATACTTAAAATATATAATTTATATATTTAAGAATAAATTTATATTTAGCATAGGATTCTATTTATTTCTAATAGAAGTTTTCAGAAAAAATTTTAATTTTTACTAGCAATCTTATTGGTTAATTAATTTAAAAAGAAAAAAAATTATAATTTAGTGTAATATTTCATTTTTTAGATATAATTTATTTATATATAGTAGGATTTTTAAAAATTTTTTAATTATAAATTTTACTTTAAGTTTCTGATAACCTATTTTATAAGCAGGATCCTTATATAGTAATAATAGTATCCCTGTATAATGTTTAAATCTAATTCTTAGAATGTGATTCACATAATTTTTACAAGAATTAAAAAAATTGATAAACAACTTTGAATTTCAGAATAGGCTAGTTTTTTTTAATAAATTTGTTCTTTTAAAACAATTTATATTTTATGAAAATTTAATGATGTTTTTTTTTACATTATTTATACTATTTAAATACCTTTATTTGAATAGCCAACTTTTAATAATAACTTTATTTAGATTTTTTGCATTTTGAAGATTTGTATCTATAATTTCTTTGTTTTTTCAATTTCATCTTCTTTTATCTGACTACTACTTTCTATTCTAAAATTAGTATCATTATTGTTTCTTTAAATTTCTTAAGGATTATCAGATATTTTATCAATAGTAAATCTTTCATTAATTATTATTGAAAATCTTTTAGGCATATTTTGATTGGATTTTTTTCTAATATAATTTTGAAAAATAAGAATTATTTCATCATCTTTTTACTCAACTGCAACTTTGCAAGTAAAGTGGCTGTTCATATTAATTCCCATATATGGCTATATAAATTCTTTTATAAATGGTCTCTTTAAAAATAGAAACAGTTATTGAAATTATGATCATAGTTTTATTATTATAAATACTATTTTTATTGTTAAATATTATTTTTTTTATAGGTTTGTCTTATTTTAGTAAATATTCTTATATCATTTTTGAGGTATCATGCTGATATATTACAATTTTGAAATTCATTATAATATAAAAATAATAATGACATATTATTTATTTTAAGATAGTAAACTTGAGATAAAAATGCAGGTAAAATATTGTATTAATAATAATAACAAAATATAAATGACCTTTTCTTTTACTTTATATATTTACAACTTTCTATATTTCTAATACTTTTTCTTGTTTTATTTCTTTGATTGTAGCTTGAAGTATAATAAAATATGTATCATATTGATTTAATAAACCATCTGATGATCTATAGGAATTTGCCTTTAAGAATAATAATATTTAATACTAAAGTATATTGCACCTCAGTTATCTAGTAACAACATACCTGCTCAACAATTTAATTTTTTATTATTGAGCTTAATTATATTTGCAGTAACAAATAAATATTGAGATATTTCTATTTTAATTGTATTATTAATAAGTTTAATAAGATATTTATTAAGAATTTTTATTATATAAGAAACAAATTTTGCTTAGTTATAGAAAAAGTATTTGTTATAATAACTTGCTTGTATTTGTAAAACTAATTTCATCATTTTTTATCTTTTAGTTTTGAATCAAGTTGATCAGCAATCTTATATAAGGTACTGTTAGCTTTTAATTATTGTTACTTTATAATTCAATTATAATTTTTAACTTTTAATACCAATTATGAAAATTTTATAAAGGTATGTTCATGATCAGAATCTAGAATTTTGATAATCAATAATAATTGATTCCATCTTTGCTTAAATAGTGGTTCACATAAACTATTGTGGTATACTGGTATTGATAGAACTATTTGATGAAATTATCACATTTTTCACCTAATTTTGCTTTTAAATTTTTAGGAAAGTTTTGTGTATAGACTGTCTCTTATACACATCTAGATGTGTATAAGAGACAGATAGAAAACAGATCAGTGAATTTTGATATATTTGCGTTTAAAGATGATAATACAAACTCTGACATAAAATAATTATTTTTATTGTTTGAAAATATTTATTATGATACCATCTTTTATATGATATTTTTATTATACTTTTATAAACATTTATAGCTACTAAGACTATATACAGTACATTTTTATTTTACTTTATATTTTATTAAAATATACTTACTTTTTAATAATATATGTTAAAATTCCATATATATGTTGTAGGTTGATTCGGGATAGCGGTGGAAATGAGATTGACCAATCACATGTCATCACATGATTGCTGATCCTACTTATGCATGTCGCCGATCTTACTGTAGGTGATTTATTTATATTGTGATGATCACGTAAAATCCCAAAACCACCAGATTCCAAATCCACATACAACATATATAAGAAATGGGTTTTTTATTAGTGAAATGGGTTTTTTCACAGCTCTTTTACATTTAATAATTTAAGTTTTGCAAATGTAAATTTTTGTTCAACTTATTATTTAGTCAAGTGATTATCAATTAGATGATTTTTTAGTATTACAAAACAATTTTGAGTAACAAAAATTATGAAAATCAATCAATAACTCTTTTTAATGCAGAGTAGACAAATCAGCCCATATGAGTTGTGATTATTATGTAGTCCAAATATATTTTAATAAAATGGTATATAATTCAACATATAAAAAAAAAAAATTTTATTTTATACTTAAAATATATAATTTATATATTTAAGAATAAATTTATATTTAGCATAGGATTCTATTTATTTCTAATAGAAGTTTTCAGAAAAAATTTTAATTTTTACTAGCAATCTTATTGGTTAATTAATTTAAAAAGAAAAAAAATTATAATTTAGTGTAATATTTCATTTTTTAGATATAATTTATTTATATATAGTAGGATTTTTAAAAATTTTTTAATTATAAATTTTACTTTAAGTTTCTGATAACCTATTTTATAAGCAGGATCCTTATATAGTAATAATAGTATCCCTGTATAATGTTTAAATCTAATTCTTAGAATGTGATTCACATAATTTTTACAAGAATTAAAAAAATTGATAAACAACTTTGAATTTCAGAATAGGCTAGTTTTTTTTAATAAATTTGTTCTTTTAAAACAATTTATATTTTATGAAAATTTAATGATGTTTTTTTTTACATTATTTATACTATTTAAATACCTTTATTTGAATAGCCAACTTTTAATAATAACTTTATTTAGATTTTTTGCATTTTGAAGATTTGTATCTATAATTTCTTTGTTTTTTCAATTTCATCTTCTTTTATCTGACTACTACTTTCTATTCTAAAATTAGTATCATTATTGTTTCTTTAAATTTCTTAAGGATTATCAGATATTTTATCAATAGTAAATCTTTCATTAATTATTATTGAAAATCTTTTAGGCATATTTTGATTGGATTTTTTTCTAATATAATTTTGAAAAATAAGAATTATTTCATCATCTTTTTACTCAACTGCAACTTTGCAAGTAAAGTGGCTGTTCATATTAATTCCCATATATGGCTATATAAATTCTTTTATAAATGGTCTCTTTAAAAATAGAAACAGTTATTGAAATTATGATCATAGTTTTATTATTATAAATACTATTTTTATTGTTAAATATTATTTTTTTTATAGGTTTGTCTTATTTTAGTAAATATTCTTATATCATTTTTGAGGTATCATGCTGATATATTACAATTTTGAAATTCATTATAATATAAAAATAATAATGACATATTATTTATTTTAAGATAGTAAACTTGAGATAAAAATGCAGGTAAAATATTGTATTAATAATAATAACAAAATATAAATGACCTTTTCTTTTACTTTATATATTTACAACTTTCTATATTTCTAATACTTTTTCTTGTTTTATTTCTTTGATTGTAGCTTGAAGTATAATAAAATATGTATCATATTGATTTAATAAACCATCTGATGATCTATAGGAATTTGCCTTTAAGAATAATAATATTTAATACTAAAGTATATTGCACCTCAGTTATCTAGTAACAACATACCTGCTCAACAATTTAATTTTTTATTATTGAGCTTAATTATATTTGCAGTAACAAATAAATATTGAGATATTTCTATTTTAATTGTATTATTAATAAGTTTAATAAGATATTTATTAAGAATTTTTATTATATAAGAAACAAATTTTGCTTAGTTATAGAAAAAGTATTTGTTATAATAACTTGCTTGTATTTGTAAAACTAATTTCATCATTTTTTATCTTTTAGTTTTGAATCAAGTTGATCAGCAATCTTATATAAGGTACTGTTAGCTTTTAATTATTGTTACTTTATAATTCAATTATAATTTTTAACTTTTAATACCAATTATGAAAATTTTATAAAGGTATGTTCATGATCAGAATCTAGAATTTTGATAATCAATAATAATTGATTCCATCTTTGCTTAAATAGTGGTTCACATAAACTATTGTGGTATACTGGTATTGATAGAACTATTTGATGAAATTATCACATTTTTCACCTAATTTTGCTTTTAAATTTTTAGGAAAGTTTTGTGTATAGTATGTTTTTGGATACAGGATGTTGGTCAGATGGGTGTGATGAATATTTTCCACTGTCACGTGATAGTGAGAAAATTGAATAAGCACGTGGACGAATTTTTTTTTTTGAAATTCTGACGGATAAATTTTGATGGTCTACAGATCTATTTTATAAAATGCCAACTGAAAGAACTGAAAGATCTCGAAGGTGCGGCTTGCTGATTTTTATTCTATTCATTTTATAAACAGAAAGTAACAAATTTTTTCTTCAGATCGTATGCCGACACTTCCTCAAGTTCAAGGAGGCATCGTTCCCGATCGCCTCATTCACGCCGGGACGATTCTTACCACAGACATCGATATGGGAGAGAATATGAAAGGGATAGTCGAAGAAGTGGTGATTATAACGAACTGCCACGCAGGGGTTCACCTAGCCATGATAAAGCACGATATGATTCTCGGGAAATTCGGGAAAATGAAAATACCTCCGATAAAACCCTTAATAATAAAGATTCGACAAAGGAGTCGAACGGTGCATTAAAACCTAAAGTTCCAATATCTTTGGAAGAATTATTGCAGAAGAGAGAATCTGAGAAACAAGTTAATGAGAGAGTAAGTATGATTCGCATTTGCTTATGATAATTGGATGATTCTTATACAACTCTCATATTTAGCCCAAATTCTTGACAAAAGAAGAACGAGCAAAAGTAGCATTGGACAAACGACAAAAAGAAGTTGAAGAACAACGTCGTAAACAGGATGAAGAAAGGCGCCAGCAAGAAGAATTTCAAAGACGTGCCGCGGAAGAAGCTCGTCAAAATGGTGACGATTTAAATTATTATGTTCACTTACTATAATTTGTTAGTGTAATAAATAATTTTATTTATGATATAGGGTATGGACGTGATAGACGAGATTATTATGATCGATATGATCGTGATAGATATGACCGTTATGATCGTGAAAGGCCAAGGGTTAAAGATAGAGATAGTGAAAAACGTCCTAATGATAAATCAGATACAAATGCAGAAACAGAAAAATTAGCCGATAAGGAATTACAGGCTATAAGGGTATTTTTTTTTTTTGTTTATAGAAGTATTTAACTTTAATTATAATTAATAACAAAATAACAATTTAGGAACGATATATGGGAGGTGAACGGAAAAAACGTAAAATACGTAAAATGAATGAAAAGAAGTTTGTTTTTGATTGGGATGCTGGGGAAGATACTTCACAAGATTTTAATCCGCTGTACGCAAATAAACATAATGCACAAATGTTTGGCCGTGGACATTTCGCTGGCATCGACATCAAAGAACAAAAACGTGATCGTGCTCAATTTTATAACCAGCTCCTTGAAGAAAGAAGGACACTTGATCAAAAAGATCGCGCTGAGTAGTTATTCATTTATATATGTATATTTTTTGATATTTTTATCAAGACAACTCATGTGTATAATTCTTTCCAGGGAAAGGTTGGAAATTGATAGACGTAAAGAGTTAAAGACAATGTGGGATGATCGTCATTGGTCGGAAAAACCATTGACAGAGATGAAAGAAAGAGATTGGCGTATTTTTAAAGAAGATTTCAATATTACCACTAAAGGTATACAATTCATTTTTTTTTTATTAACCTTTAAACATGTTCAATTAATAAGACTTAAAATCTTACTAGGTGGCAGTATTCCAAATCCTATAAGGTCTTGGGCAGAATCTGGTTTGTCGGAACGCATACTTAATCTTATTGAGAGTATTGGATATAAATCTCCCACTCCTATTCAACGTCAAGCTATACCAATCGGTTTACAAAATAGGGATATTATTGGTATTGCTGAAACAGGTACACAATTTAATCTCTTATGATTACTTTTTAACAAGTTATTTTCTCTGATATTAATTCTATAATTATAGGAAGCGGTAAGACTGCTTCATTTGTAATACCAATGCTTGTATATATATCCGATCTTCCAAGATTGACGGAAGAAAACATGTCAGATGGTCCATACGCTTTAATTTTGGCTCCTACTCGTGAATTGGCTCAGCAAATAGAGCAAGAAACATTGAAATTTGCAGCACCTATGGGATTCAATTGCGTTTCCATCGTTGGTGGGGTAAGTAACAGCTGTATAACACTTTATTTTTGGAATCCGTTTTAAGTAGTAGATTTTTTTGTAAATTTACTGTAGCATGCAGTAGAAGAACAAGCATTTAATTTGAGAAATGGCGCCGAAATTATTATCGCCACTCCTGGTCGTTTGAAAGATTGTTTGGATCGAAGGATATTGGTTCTTAATCAATGTACCTATGTAGTCATGGATGAAGTACGTATACTTTAAACAATTATTGTTATTCATCACTATTTCTATATTGAATAATTTTTTATTTTAGGCTGATCGTATGATAGATATGGGTTTCGAAACGGATGTAAATGTAATTTTAGATGCATTGCCTGTATCAAATGTGAAGCCAGATACAGATGAGGCAGAAAATCCGGCTGAAATGCTTAAGAAGATTGGACAAAAAGAACGTTATAGACAAACTGTGATGTTTTCAGCTACTATGCCTCCAGCCGTAGAACGTTTGGCTAAAAGGTTTATAGCAAAATAAAACACTTATCTGTATATATGTTTATGATGTGTAAACTAATTAAACAATTTATGTATAAATTTATAGATATTTAAGACGACCCGCAGTGGTAACTATAGGAACAGCCGGTCAGGCAGTAGATACTGTTGAACAAAGGGTAGAAATGATAAATGATGAAGGCAAAAAGAAGTAAAATATCAAATATTATTCAAAATTTGTTTAATAAGTTTTAAGAACTAGACTAAACGTATTTCAAATCTTATAGAGCAAGACTTCTAGAACTACTTCAAGGTTCTTTTGATCCACCAATCATCATATTTGTTAATCAAAAGAAAGGATGTGACGTTCTTGCCAGAGCATTAAACAAACTTGGGGTAATGTATTTAATTAATATCGTATATTGTAGTACTTCTAAATAAAGTAGAATTTATATTAACTGACAACCTGATTTTTAGTACCGTGCAACAACGCTACACGGTGGCAAAACTCAGGAACAAAGGTTAGTTTGGTTATGTTGAGGGATAGTTTGAATTTCTTTACATCTAGGAAATAACGTTATTCTTCGTAATACAGAGAAAGTGCATTGGCGCATCTTAAAAACGGAACAATGGATATATTGGGTATTAATTCTTTTTTCCCTCAATTCGATTTATATTAGTGCATTAACTCAGTATATATATTTTTATATTTATAGTGGCCACTGATGTAGCTGGACGTGGTATAGATGTAAAGAATGTTTCATTGGTAATCAATTATGATATGGCCAAGAATATTGAAGGTATTCGGATTATAATATATTATTGAAGATTTAACGTAACAGATGAAGACGTATTAACACTTTTTTTTTTAGATTATACACATCGTATTGGTCGTACTGGACGTGCCGGTAAATCTGGTGTCTCGATTACGTTCTTATCTAACGCAGATGCTGATGTCATGTATGTCTTTCTCATTTATAATTCTTTTTTAAACATCATTCTTATATTTTAATTTAATCAATTTTTTCTTAAATATGTCCAAAAGGTATGATCTTAAGCAAATGATTATGAAATCACCTATATCTCGTGTACCTGCTGAGTTGTCATCTCATCCATCAGCAATGGCTAAACCCGGTACTTATATAGCCAAACGAAAACACGAGGAAACTATTTTTCAATGATTTTTCTATTTACATCTATAATGATACACATTCTAAGAGAAAATTATATTTACTGCGATCTGTACATATAAATTACACTAATTATTACGTTATGAATTACATTTATTTCTAATAAAAACGGGGAAAAAATGCATTTTTCGCATACTTTATAAATATATGAAACCTATTCTGAACACGTGAGTTTTCGAATAAGTTACACCGCAGTGTAATTATATTAATAATGTATTGTTTGTTCATCCTAAAACATAATTTATACCATGTAAGTGTTAAAATATTTATCATCAGATCGAGTATCTTATAATATATACGGCTTCATGTCTGATAATACTTCAACTAACTTACCTTCAATGATCACAGCAGACGAAACAACTCCCATAACAGATTCTTCAGCAAATGTACCTTTCTTTAAAAAGAAATCCAAAACATCAAACAATAGAAATATTCGAAAACGCAAAAAATCTGATACCGATGTATCTAGTGAAGATAATAATACTTCAGCAGTAATAACAAAAGAGCGAAAATTAGATAATTTAAATCCATTTGTGCAAGCTTCAAAAAAAGGAAGGCGTGTTAATAAAGAGGAAATTAGTGATGTATATGCAGCGAATAAATCCGCTATTACTTCTGTTCCTGAAGATATTGCTACTAGATCTGCCGAATGGGACACCGAAACTGATAGAGATGCTCAAGCATTATTAGAAAAGAAATTGGCTGCTGAAGAGGTAAGTTATATTTTTTTATCATTATATAGTTGGTTTTTAATCTTTTCCTATATACTGTTTAGGCTCTCGATGATAACCTCTATAAAGGAGCGAATGCGTACAAATCCTATATCAAGAAACGTGACACAGCCGCAGGAAGCGCCGTAAGTTCGAAAATAAAGTATGTTTATTCATATTTTTTCGAGTCTCCAAGAATTCATGAATGGTAACATTGTTTAATTCTTTTACTACAGAGCTGGGCCAATTCGGGCACCATCAAATATTCGTGTGACTTCACGAATGGATTATCAACCCGACATATGTAAAGATTATAAAGGTATGTATAGAACAAATTATTTTAAATTGACATTCATGATCGTTTTACACTTACATACATATATATATGTTAGAGACGGGATATTGCGGATATGGTGATTCATGTAAATTCTTACACGATAGAGGAGATTATAAGAGTGGATGGCAGTTAGAAAGAGAATGGGAAGAAATGCAAGGAAAATTGAAAAAAGACCCTAATGCATTTCTTGTGGAGAGTAGTGATGAAGAGAGTGATGAAGAATTACCATTTGCTTGTTATATTTGTCGACAAGAATTCAAGAATCCTGTTGTTACAAAGTATTATATAATTTAAATAATGGTCTACTTTTGTTATCTTTTACAATCAGTTCTTAAACTCTCTTTTTTTTTTAACAGATGTGGACATTATTTCTGTGAACGATGTGCTTTACAGAATTTTACTAAAAGTCCAAAATGTTATTCTTGTGGAGCTCCAACAAATGGTATATTTAATACCGCAAAGAATTTAATGCAAAAAATTGAAGAGAAAAAGAAAAGAATGGCAGAAAAAGGAGAGAAAAATAAAGACGATGAGGGAAGTGACGATGACGATAAATAATAAAGTAAATAAAATTATAATTTTATTATTTAGTAAATTCAAACTCTAAAACTTCTATATCACTGCCACGTATAACTACGTGATCGTAAGTTCCAACTGGTGATTCCCAATTTTCAAACCGAAAGCTTGTTTCATTCGCATCTACTGCCTCAAATTTTCCTTTTATCACCGTACTGTTCAATTTCGTTTGAGTTAAATAATTTATAGTTTATATTCTTAAAAATAATACTTAACTTACTTTTCGTAAAGTCGTGCTATAGTATTTGATTTTCGTTTATTTAATTCTAACCAAAAAAACAAAGACCTTTGTCGTAGTAATGCTCTGATTTTTTGGTCATCATGGGAGGTTAGTAAAGTTGAGGTGTCCATTTTAGCGTCTGAGGATTTCATTATAAAAAAAATCGTTGTATTTCTCTTATTTTTTATTTGATCGAAAAAAATTATAAAGTGGAAGGTATTTTCTGTAAAGAACTGATTTGGGACGTTTGCTTGCCTATAGAGTTCGTGGTTTAAAATTATATTATATTATCAAATCGCAAGTACAAAAAAACAAGTTGTTTAATTTCTATTAGTTATTTATTATATAGGACAAAAAAAAATAATGAATTGCAAAATAAAAACCAGTTATCAGAATTGTTTCAAATTTTGCAATTGTTGTTGTATATAAAATTATTTCTTTGTATTACATTCTTTATACAGGGTGAAAATTTTAATAATCTTTTTCATATGTCCATGAAAATATTGAAATTTTTTAATATGCTATTTTACTCGAGTATATGTATGTAATGAAATATATAGCAGATAATACATTAATTAACCTAATCGACGCGATTGATTATGTAGCAAATTTGATAAAATTACGTTTGTATAATAAATAAATAATAATTATATAATTCAATAATTTTTGTTTCATTTTGTTTATTTTATTTTTTTTTTTTTAAAAAAAAAAAAATATTTAGATCTGATACCATTTAGTAATTAACGTTACATTAAAAGCTAAATCCTAAAAGTTACATATAAAAATTTTTCATACAAATGATGAAAAAAAATTATAATAATGTAGGAATTTTTGAATTTTATATTTTCATTTTTGCAATTGGCCAAATAAATCAAATTTAAAATATAATGAAAAAAGCATTAAGAAAATGAGAGAGAGAGAGAGAGAAAAAATAAATGAAGAAAAACATTAAAAAAGGCCACGAAAAGTATTGAAAAATAAATGAATAATTAATTCAAAAGGGTTTTTTTTAAAATACAAATAAATGAAAAGAAAATTTTTTTAATGAAAAATGATAAACTAAAATGAATAAAAAAACACAAGTTAAGTCAACTTTAGAAATTTAAAGAATTGAAAACAAAAATACCTACCTTTTGTACATATATTGTACACGAAAATCACAAGTTACACAAAATAAACAAACTTCCAAACTTGAAATGAAAGAATAAAAATTACATGAAATAGAGGGAATATTTAATCACAGGAGGGCGACTCTTTGAGCAAATGACAAACTACAGCTATATTACTTCCCCCGCTATGCACTACTGCTAGTTTCAGCGCTTTGATCTTCCATGAGATAAGTCGGTACCATATGGGATTCGCCTTCTTGGTCATTACCCATATTTTGTTCTTGTGACGATACTTGATATGTCATATGACTATCTACATGACCATTATCTTCTGAAGATCTATAGTATTGCTGTGGCGGTGCTTGTTGATAATGAACTCCTGCACCGGATGGATAAAGATGAGGAGCAGGGACTGATTGGTAGTGAGAAGGATGTTGCATAGGTCCCTATATAAAGGCAAATAAGTATATATATATATATATATGAGAATATTTCGTTGTAATTTCTATGTATAAACCCCTCACTTAGTTTCTACTCTTATGGCACCATATTTACCCATATTACCTCCACGTATTGTTGTTGGTCCAAAGACACCATCGGAGAACCGGTTGAAGGTTGAGAAGGTTGTACACGAGTAACACCAACGGATTGATCTTTGGATGAAGCAGCAGTCCAAGCTTGTTGAGGTACATAACCTGGGGGTGCATGAGGTGCTCCATATGGAGGTATTATAATAGGCTGTGGATGCCAATATCCCGGAGGAGGAGTGAAAAATGCAGGTTGAGCATTTGGAATATAATTAGGATCCATCATTGGCGGCTGTATTTGTGCACCGTTTTGAGTGGCCAACCCTCTAAAGATAAAAAAAGTTCATGAATCATGCCAGCTAATATTTAATAAGTAACAATTTAAATACCTGTCTTGTCCTTCACCAACAACACCTTGACCATCGATATTTAATGGTTGAGTTAATAGAGGACCAGACATATTTGAATACGATGCGGGAGTTGTTTGTGATTTATGGAATTCAGCAAGCAACCTTTCTCCAACTACTGGCTCTACTTCAGTACCATCTCGGCTAATTTTAACTTCGCGATTCGCATTCCACGGATTACGAAGTTGTCGCGTACGAATGAAAGGAAGCTTTTGGCTAGTTACATAGAAAGATATGATTAATAATTGCTAACAGAATGAAAGTAATACGTTTATCAGGATTTCTACAATAATGAGAAATATTTTTAAATGTACATATAGGAATCATAACATACACTTTGATCCATTCTACTTTAAATGTCGTTCCCCAATTCCTTGACGGAACTGCGTCATCTTCACAATCTTCATTCTCTTCATCTTGAAGCTTTTTCCGCGATTTCGACTCATCTTGATTAGGTGAAAGGCGAGAAGAAGAAGCAGCTAAAGCGGCTTCGTCGATCGGAGTCCATTGTACTGTCTCGGTTGACTCCTTGCTAATCGGGCTCAACATTCTAATAATTTTATTATAAAATTTATATAATATTAACTTACAAATCATAAAAGTGTTATTATACCAGAAATTTATTAAACCTGCCTTGCATAACCGTAAAACTCTCCACTCTTATTGGCACTAAATATGAGGTATACATTCTCGGCACTCTATAATAATGTAAACAACTTAATGACATTGCGTCTAATGTAATTTTAATAAATTAAACAAATATCCACCTTAAATGCCTTGTTCAAAGCTGCTTCATTGTGAGGTTGCGTTGCCCAATAACCGCTCTTAACAGAAATGTCAAGGTCGTCTTGAGTTAACGATTTGAGAATGAAATACCTATTTTGCGACGATGGTTTTAAGGAAGAAACAGAAGAAGCTGGAGACATAGAAGCAATAGATGGTTGTCGAATACGTTGGCGTGGTGGCAAGGATGACCGACGAGATCTAGTGGAAGAAGCGGTTGACCCTGCCTCCGAAGGTGTGGGTGGAGGTGTGTTTTCCGAAATCAAAGCAGATAATGATTCGGTTTTCAATTTTAAATCGGCTGGTGTTTGCTGAGAGTTAAATAAATAAAAAATGATCTTATTAATTTATGATAAGGAAAAGTTGGTTTGAAAAAAAGTAAAAATTATGGCAATTTACCTTCCTTGGACGGCAAACTAATTTAATCCCCTTGAATTCTAATATCAAGATAATAATATGTTATAAGTAAATATAACCTAAAAGTTGACTTTGTTTATATAAAAAATCATACCCATTTCGTTGTATTTGTGTACAGCTTCCATAACGGCTTCGTATGTTTTGTAATTCACAAATGCACAATTAGATCTTTTAATGTGAAACACGCTCTAAACATAGCGATATTCATTAGCAAAACTTTTAAAAGATGATTATATATCACATGTCCTCGAAACGAAATTTATTAAATAAAATACCTCCATATTTTCATCCGCAAAAAATTCTTTTAATTCATCATGAGTGGTCGAATCAGGTAAATTTCCAACCCAAAGAGCTTTATCCAATTGTTTAGGTTTCTTTTGCTGATGTATCCTGGGATTATGTTGAGGACCAAACTCTGGAGTCCTACTAATCTGATCTAGAGAACTTCTACGAGAAGAGAAACCAGAATCACCACCATTTACATATCTTGTGGGATGAGACTGATGAGGGATTAGAGGTGAAGGATTATGATAAGGAGGATGATGAATTGGAGGAATAACAGGTATTTGTTGATAGGGATAAACGTTTGACCTAACAAAATTTTGTTGTGCTGAAGGAGAAATTTGGGGAGGGGGCCGCCCAAATCTATTGTATTGAGGATCATAAAAGTATTGTCCATTGTTTGGAAAAAATGGAAAATATTGGGGCGGAACAGGCATAAAAGGAGTAGGTTGATTCATATTAGAATATGACATTTGAGGTGTTTCTTCGTACATTTGTGATTGCATATTAACACCATTAGAATATGTTGTATTTGTGGACGTTATGGTATTTGCGTTCGCGTTACTGTTGGTATTAGCCGGATTTGTGTTATCGTTGCTGTTACTGTTATTGGAAGAGGATGAAGGTGATGGTGGTGAAGAAGAAATACTAGTATTTGTTGTAACAACGTTAATTGAAGAACTAATTGGTGTTGAATTATGGCGTTGGTGCATAGAATGTGACTTCGATGACCTTTGTGAATTATCATTCATACTTTGTCTCCGAGGAATCGAAATAGTATTTTCATGAAATGGATCATGATCAGTACCACCACTAATTATATTATCATCATGATTAAATGAACCATTAGAATTTTCATCTACTTCATCAGAATTAATAATATTGGAAGTTTTGGTTGATGTATTTCCATTACTAGTCGATTTATTATTATTGATAATGTCTTTGTCTGACACGCTTTGATAAGCATTGTTAGACTTCAAAATGTCTTTATTTTTGTCTTTTTGTTGTTTTCGCCCTGAATTAATTTTTATTTCTTGACTAGATTCAGCAGTCAAACTTTGTTCATTTTGCGATTGTTGAACGTGAAGGCTAGGATGAGACGCGGACTTTTTTGGGGCAGTAGTAGAAATAGGAATTTCTCGCGACTCCTTACTTGTTGAGGTTGTCTGTTGCGTTTCCGCTTCAGTCACTTCCTCACGAGACATTTTATTGATTTTTTATTTTTTTTATCACACTTCTTTTTAAATACCGTATTAAAACTAACTGCCCCCGGTTTTTTCGCTTTAATGGTAAAATTTTTTTTGTACAATTTTTCGACACAAACGTAAAATACAACTAAACTAAATACAAACTAAATTCTTCTATATCAAAAATAACCGTATACGATGACTTCTCAACGAAATGGTACAAAAATAAAAAAGAAAAGAAAAGAAAAAATAATACAAAAAAGAAAAAGGGTAGAAAAAATATTTACAAAGAAAAAAAAAAAAAGAGGAAATTCAAAAAGGGATTTGCGACTGTAAAAAAGAGTCGTTATTTTTGGTGTGAATTATAAAAAAATGAATTTTCAAAAAGTTGAACTTTAATAGTTTTTAGATAAAGAGAAGTTAGAAAAATTATTCTTATAAATAATAGGGCACGGGCTAGCCAATGTGCTGGCCGAAAGAAACAACGCTCATGAAAGGAAAAGGAAAAAATTTTTTATATTTGGTGATACCCAGTTGAAGTTCATTCAACTGATTTACAGTAGACGTTCAGTAGATATATGTAACTTTATTTATAAACAAATCATACTATAATAAAATTTATAAATAAAATTTTCTTTGCGTTTCACATTAGAGTAAAAATTAATAAATTCCTAATTATATATATAATTTTTTAACATTTTCTTGATTGATGTTCTTTTACTTCATCACATTTATAAACTTTCGATTATTATGTGACTGATCCGGTAATAGTAGATATCACTATCATAAAGAAATAAATGAATATATAAATATATATATATTATACAATATAGATTATAATGCGATCGTACGGAAAATATCGATTATTTTGATACTATAATTATTAAAATTATTATTAATTCTTTTTTTTTTCTTTTTAATCATCTCAATCCTTCAGATCATTCGGAAGAGAAAAAAACTAAAAATCCATAACGAAAATTCATTAAGAAGCTAACTATGATAAAAATAGGAAGTAGACGTTACTCAATTTAGAAAAAAAATAATATACAAAAAATATCAGATTCTCAGATTCTCAGGGAAGAGATACATTGCATTTTTCGTTATACAGGGTATTTCTAGGTTATTATTACTAACTGAAAAATTTAAAAATATAATCAAACACGTCAATAAGTTGTATCACATAAACAATAAATCTTTTTTGCAATATAAACAGAGCTCCCATAATTATTTCCGTGTTACAAGAGAAGATAAGAAAAAAATTACTGTGCTTGTACCTACGAAACTGATAGAATAGTTTGATAGATTTCCCCGCATATAAATATTCTCTGCGCCACAAACAATTTTTTTCTAATTCAGATATTTTGTATCATAGTTAGAAAAGAAACAATATAAACTTTGTGTAAATGTCATTTTACACATTAAGATCTAACGTAATATGTTTAATGTGACACTTATCGAATCTTCCTAAAATGCACTAGATGATTATATAAAACAAATCCCCCAGCAAAAATTTTGTGTATCATTATCACATGGCATTTTTGACATATAATAAGTGACATAAAAAAATTATCTCAAAGTTTCGATGAAGGTTCGCTAATTTCAAGGAATCAAGGCAGTATTTTACTCGCTTCGTTTATAGTTTAGTTATTTTGCATAAACTAAGATGGCCTGCTACGATCTCATATGAGCATCTGTGTCTTTATATCATGGCTCCATGGGCCATGGCAACATATTAGTACGAGCCCCTCCTTTTTTTTTCAATAAGACTAATCTTGATTAAATTGCACTTTTAGCATTCTTTTGTGAGATAATTTTTGCGTCATCTAATCAAAAATCGCAATATAATGCTGTATATGTCACAAATTAAGATCCACCCTCTTTGATGAGCGTGATAAACGATTGTCGAATGTCTATACACTTTTCGGGTACCGATGTGATATTTATTTGAAACTTATTATCGATTTAAGTAGTAAAATCCTAATTATTATTATTAATTAATTTAATAATTTTAATACCTATAATTTATGTGTAACCTTTGAGTGATTTTCCTATTTCTTTAATTGTTATTTAAACACTATTTTGGTACGACCGCAGTTCTCAAGATGACGAAATGTCTGCAAATTCCTTTCTTTGTGTTTCATTATTGAATTTATTTTCGCGTTGAAAAAAAATCATGTTTCACATAACTTCGCCTTAAACAAATAAAGAATTAAACTTTTGATAAAGAAAGAAAAAAAAATTATTGTTTTTTTTTCTTTCATTATTCTTGTTTTCATTAAAAATTATAATTTAAATAATTTTAATAAATATGGCTGTCTCTTTAGCAAATTATCCACAAACCGGTGAAACTTCGAATTTGTCAGAATATGACGATGAAAATGTTTCCTTAGTCAGTTTTCTTCCTTCACATACTAAACAACCTTTACCACGACTTCCTATTTTTGAAACCGGTATACCTCAACGAAATGGAAATGTGACAAATAAAAATATTCCCTCTTTTAATAAACGTAATTCTTTTCCACATTCTGTACCGCGAAACTCATCCTATACAAATCGTCATAGTATGTGTGGTGATTTACCTTCACAACAAACAAACTGTAATAGTATTAATAAGTCTTCTACTAAAATGCGAAGAAGGGCTGCAAGTTTTGGTGAAAATTCCGTTGTATGTAATAATAATAATAATAAATTTAATAATAATATTAATAGTAATAGATTAACTACAACAGAAATAGAGAAGAAATATACAACTTCATTAATTATTCAAATACCTTCGAAAGTAGATAAAGTTGAATCTCCAAGATTATCTCCAAGATCTCTAAAACCTTCTCAAGAAGAAAAATCATCACCAAAAGGAAAATCTTGGGCTGAAAATTCTCCAAAGTCTGCAACAGCGCAAAATCATAATATAGAACAAAAACAAGAAATATTAGATAATAATAAAGCTGAAGCGTCTAATAATAATCAAAATCAGAATGAAAAAGAATTAGAAAAATTATCGTCTTTAGATAAAGGTCATAGTTGTAATGTTTCAGATGATAATGCAAAAGATCAAAGTAATCGTATAGAGAATAATAATACTGAAAATCCTCAATTAATTAGTAATGATAATTTAAATTCAAATTTAATTTCTCAAAATTCAAAATCACAATCGCATAATCGATCATTTTTTAGACATAGTGTTACATTAAATCATCAAGCTGGTGGTTCAAGTACCGATCTTAGAAAATCAATGTATAAAGAACCATCTTTTAAAAAACGATTGAGAAAAGTCTTTAGTTTAACTAATATCAGACAAGATAATAATAATTCTAGTAAAACAAATTCTACACCTTCATCAGCTTCTAGCCATAAATTTTCTTCGCTTAGAGGTGAAAAATATAATTTCGCTGTTGATAATGATGACAATTCATCTAACAACGATAAAGATGACGATATGTCAGTATCATCGGTCTCATCTAATAATGATAACGTTCCTGCTATTACACAAGAAAACAAGTCTGGTTCTCGTCGTCGATCATTTATCGGCCTTTTTTCTTCAAAGAACGAAAAGAAACGTAACAAACAAGATCGTCTTCAAAAGCAGCAACAGCGATACCTTGAACAACAACAATTGGATCAACAAAATAAACAATTAGATGATAATAAAAGGAGTAATTCTATTGATGAAATGAGAGAAAATGATAATAACGAGGAAAAACAACAAAATGACAACGGAAATGAACGAGTAGACGATGATCCTGATGAGAAATGTAAGCATATAACTGTGATCATTACTCTGTTTTTTAATAAATTTACTGAGAATTTCGTCTTTTTTTCAGCATCTATTCCTCCACGACTTTCATCGTTACAATCTTTAGATAATGATTCTCCAAATCATTTTAAACAACAAAATTCTACCTCACCTCTTTGTAATCAATTTCGTATAAATAAATCACCGTCACGACCGTCCTCATTACCAGCACCTGCTAAAGATAAAGAACCTTCTTTATCAGCCACAACTCCAAGGCGATTGAGCGTTCCCGCTCCTCCTTCTATTATTAAACCTGATAATAATAATAATCAATCCAAATCACCTTTTGTTAATTTAGGTGCAAATGGAACTCGTTCAGTTCCTTCTCTCGTTTTGCTTAGAGATACTGACATACCACCCGCTCCTTCTACACCTTCTTCTATTAAGAAACTCCAGTTTTCTTCTAAAATTCTTGTTCATGAAACTTGGACACGCGAAGATTATGATCGACGTGGTGATCAATCTACTTGTAACAAATTAACTCCAATTCTCGCCCAAAAAATTAAAGATGAATTAAATGAATACAAAACAGTCGAAATGCAAGTTCATGAAGATAGTAAGAATAATACTCATTACTTTGCTTAAATTATTTACAAGTGCAGGTACACTCGGTACGTTCGGGTCACCAAAGTTTTTTGTTACTGTTGAACAGTAATTTTGGAAAAAAATTTTTCTTTTTACTTGGATTTTCTTTCTTAATCTGGTAATTAGGAACAATAGATATTTTATGAGAATTTTTTTTTTTTTCTTTTAAAAAAAAAATGTACAATTCTTTTTTTAGTGTAGGGGGGGTTTTACTTTTTTTTTTGTAATTTATATATATATATTAGAACTTTTATTATATTCATACAGAAACAACAAAAAAATTTTTATTTTTGTTATTATAATTATTTTCTTTTTGTGGATAGGATTATATAGATTTTTGATATAATACATTTTATTAAGATTAGTAATAATCACATTACGTGATTTCAAAGAATTTGATTTATAAGGTAGAAGCACATGATTATGTTCACGTGTAACTTAAGACATCTCTTAACATTATAACTTAAAGGAAGCCAATTTTTAAAAATAAATTCATAAATCTCATTTGAAATAAATTCATAGGTAAAATTTGACATCTCTTTTTACTATTCCTCCTCCTGATTCAAAACTTCGTTTCTTATCTAAACTAAATCATTTTTAATTAACAATTTTTGATCAATAATATAACTGTACACTAGATAATCCACTATTTTATTAAAATTGAATAGTTTTTATCCGTTTAGTCCCGTTTATTAAATCCTGTGTAACTCAAATATATCCTTAAAATCGATGCATCCCTTCATTCCGTGAAATTTTGTACTATTTGTACTTGTGTTGCAATGCAGTTGTTACTCTAATATTTTTTATCCGGAATTCTACAGCCGAAATACAAGCCTCAAGACTTCTTATTGTTTCAGCGCAGCTTTTATTTTTGTCTTTTTTTTTTGGAGAACGTTCTTAAATTTTTTTTAAAGAAGTATTCTTCACTGATTGCTTTTCGAAATGTAGTATACTTACTTTTAACATAAGCCTGTAAAAATTTACTTTGGAAGAAAAAAAAAAAGAAAAAAAAATATAAATTAGTAAGTAATGAAAGTAAAAAAAAGGGTTTATTATATAAGTGAAAGGTAAAAAAAAAAAGGAATATAATGATTGGTACAAAGGGGGGTCACATAATAAAAAAAAAAAAGGGTTTCTGCAATTCTTTGAGAAGTCAGACCAACGTTGGCTCAAAGATTTTTTGGGATGAAAAGATAGTGGGTCTTTATATACTTCTTCAAGCCCTAACATTTACTTTCCAAAACAGGTAGGTAAGCCGTACAACTGAAAATTGACAATGTGCTTAGGAAGTACATAAAAGCACCCCCATTTTATTTATACATATTTACAATAATATAATATATTTTATCAATATAAAAAATCTCACTTTTATAATAAAATAATCTATTATGTTATTGTTCAATCAGACTATATTGAGTCAGCTTTTTTTTTTCATTTTTATACATTACTTCATTTTTTCTTCTGATGGACACTCATAATAATCACTATATAAACATAAAATTCAATACGCAACAATTATTGTTGCAAGTTTTTTCTTCTTCTCAGACGATACATTTTTCTACTTTTATCTGAGAAGTTAAGAGATTCATAGCTCATTTTTCTTCTGGTTTTATTTAACCCGTTCATTGACGGTCTTTAAAAAGGAGTATTTTAACTTACTTAAATAAGATCAAGAGTCAATATGAATGGACATCAATTTGCTTACTCGTCAGCGCCTTTAAAGCGAGTTAAATATGTACAATTTGGAATTTTATCACCAGAAGAAATTGTATGTTGTGTTTTCTTATGTGAGAGCGCAAGTTTTTCTTTCTGTTTTTATTTAATATTAAAAAGTATTTTTTGATATTATTTCTTTTACTTGTTTCCTATAGAAACAAATGTCGGTTGCCCTAATTGAACATCCTGAGACAATGGATGAAAGTGGGCACCGACCAAAACAAGGCGGTTTACTGGATCCTCGTATGGGTACTATAGACAGGAACTTTAAGTGCCAGACATGCGCTGAAGGCATGTCCGAGTGTCCAGGCCACTTTGGACACATAGAACTAGCAAAACCAGTATTTCATATAGGTAAAGTATTTTATATTAGTAATATTTATAATTCCCCTTTTTTATTTATATTTATTAAAAACAAAAAAAAGAAAGAAAGTTGAATTTTACCTATAAAAATGTTCTTTAAATTCTTAAATTATATTTATTTTATTTTATTTTATTTTATTTTATTTTTTTTATTTTTTTCTATTACTTTTACTTTCGTAATTTATGTGTATCGTTACATTCGTTACACAAAATTCATTTTTATCACATCAAGTTTACTGACGATTATTATAATTAAATAGGATTTCTTCCTAAAGTTAAAAAGATCTTGGAGTGTATCTGCATAAATTGCTCAAAGTTGAAGACAGACGACGTGAGTTGTCTTCTTTTGTCTTTGTGAAATATTGATTTAACTTTTATGAAAAATCAATTTTCACATTTTTATTGCAGTTTAATATTATTCTTTATTTATCAACTTTTTTTCTCTTTTTTTCTCTTTCATTGTACAAATTTTTTTTGCATTCTATTGTATATTTTTAAAATAAAAAAAAAAAATACTATTTCGATCTTTTCTTTCAAATGTTGCTCTTCCTTTGTATATAAAAAAATTTCCCCATTATTTTCCTATATTTTATATACTATGTGTAGTCCAATGCAAAATTTTCGGTAGCACGCAAGGTTCGTGATCCTAAACGTCGTCTCCGTGCAGTATGGGAAATCTGTAAGTCAAAGATGATATGTGAAAAAGGAGAAGATCCAGAAAATGACCCAGATAAAGCTTCGGAATACGGTGATGACTATGTTCCTAACGGCCAAAGTAGTAAGCCAATTCCTCAAAGGACTTCTACATCCGCAGATGATTTTGGTTTAAATAAAGTAAAAAGACCTCATGGTGGTTGCGGTCATCGTCAGCCTACTATTCGCAAAGATGGTTTAAAATTATATATGAATTTTAAAATTAGAGATTCTGAAGTAAGAAGCATACAATTATTCCTTTTTTTTTTCTTGATTATCTTATAAATTCGTTTTGATTTTCAAATTCTATAGGAACAATCAGGTCAAGATACTAGGCAGATACTTACACCGGCACAAGTTTACAGCATATTCAAGAAAATATCGTCAGAAGATTTACATGATTTGGGGTTAAATGAAGAGTATGCTCGTCCCGATTGGATGATCATAACAGTTCTCCCTGTACCTCCACCGCCTGTTCGTCCCAGTATTCAAATGGACGGAACAAGCAGAGGAGAAGATGATTTAACTCATAAATTGTCAGACATATTAAAGGCTAATCAAAATTTACGACGTTATGAAACTGACGGTTCTCCGGCTCATGTTGTTAGTGAATTCGAAGCTTTATTACAGGTACTTATTTGTCTATTTTAATTTACTAAAATATTATTATTCCACATTATACTAAATTGCTACTTTTCTGTATATAGTTTCATTGTGCAACTTATATGGATAATGAGATGGCTGGTCAACCACAAGCATTACAAAAATCTGGTAGACCTTTAAAATCAATCAGAGCACGTCTCAAGGGTAAAGAAGGACGTCTTCGTGGAAATCTAATGGGTAAACGTGTAGACTTTTCTGCTCGTACAGTCATTACGGGAGATCCGAATATATCAGTAGATGAAGTTGGAGTTCCAAAAAGTATAGCTTCAAATTTAACTTTTCCTGAAATAGTGACACCGTTTAATGTTGATCTACTGCAAGAACTTGTAAAAAATGGCCCTTCAGTACATCCTGGAGCTAAATATGTTATTAGAGATACTGGAGAACGTATAGATCTGAAACATACCTCAGGTACAAATGTAGTACGATTACAGAATGGTTGGAAAGTTGAACGACATATCAATAATGGTGATATTATTATATTTAATCGTCAACCGTCTTTGCATAAAATGTCAATGATGGGTCACAAAGTTCGTGTGATGCCATTTTCAACTTTCCGTCTTAATCTTTCTGTAACGTCACCATATAATGCTGATTTTGATGGAGATGAAATGAATATGCACATACCGCAATCAGTCGAAACTAAAGCTGAGATTAGAGAGATATGTATGGTACCAAAACAAATCGTATCCCCTCAATCAAATAAGCCAGTAATGGGAATTGTCCAGGACACTTTATGCGGTATTCGTAAATTTACCAAAAGAGATACTTTTTTATCTAAAGATTTAGTAATGAACATTTTAATGTGGGTTAAAGATTGGGATGGAAAAATTCCAACTCCATGTATCTTGAAACCAATACCGTTATGGACAGGGAAACAAATTTTGAGCATGATCATTCCTAAAGGTATAAATTCGGACAATTTACGTCATTCTACTCATCCTGATGGCGAATTTACAGATATTTCACCTGGTGATACAAAAGTCTTGATAGAAGATGGAGAACTACTGTGTGGTATTATTTGTAAGAAGACGGTTGGTACCGCACAACAAGGTTTAATTCATGTCATTATGCAAGAATTGGGTCCAAATAGAGCAAAAGACTTTTTGAATGGATGTCAAGCTGTTGTAAATTATTGGCTTTTACAAAATGGATTTAGTATTGGTATCGGTGATACTATCGCTGATAAAGATACTATGGAAAGCATTACACAAACTATTAACTCTGCTAAAGAACGTGTAGCCGAAGTTATAATTGCTGCTCAACAAAATAATTTAGAATGTCAACCTGGTATGACAATACGTGAATCCTTTGAAAATAAAGTAAACAAAGAACTTAATACTGCTCGTGACTCAGCTGGTCGTAGTGCTGAAAAAAGCTTAAGTGAAGATAATAATGTTAAACAGATGGTAATAGCGGGTTCAAAAGGTTCATTCATTAATATCTCTCAAATGACTGCTTGTGTTGGACAGCAGAACGTTGAGGGTAAACGTATACCTTTTGGTTTCAAGTTCCGTACATTACCTCATTTCACAAAAGATGATCATACTCCTGAAAGTCGTGGATTTGTAGAAAATTCTTATTTACGTGGCTTGACACCACAAGAATTTTTCTTCCACGCAATGGGTGGTCGTGAAGGTAAATTGTGATTAAATTTTAAAATCGTTATTTGTGTGATGAAATTAATGTTTAATTATGTTGTTCAATAGGTTTAATTGACACGGCTGTAAAGACTGCTGAAACCGGGTATATTCAGCGTCGGTTGGTAAAAGCTTTAGAGGATGTAATGGTAAAATACGATGGAACTGTTCGTAATTCTCTTGGAGATATTCTTCAATTTTGTTATGGAGAAGATGGAATGGATGCTTGTTTCGTTGAATCTCAAAACATTGATTCTTTACCTTTATCTGACGATGCATTTGATAAAAAGTATTTAGTTGAATTACCAAAACCTGAGGATAAAGAGAAGGAGAAAGAGGAAAAAGAAAAGGAGAACAGAGAAGAAAAAAAGAAACAAGAACTTGAACAAGAAAAGGTTAAAATCAAATCTCATGATGAAATAGTAAAAGAGAAAATCAGGGCTGAATATGAACAATTAAAGACGGATCGTTTCTTGTTACAAACCTTTATATTTCCTAAAGGTGATAACAGATGGCCATTACCAGTCAATTTAAAACGTCTCATTAAAAATGCTCAGCAAAAATTCAAAATTATTCCTTCTCAAAGGACAAAAAGTGATTTGCAATTTGTTGATGTTATAGACAATGTTGAAGAACTTTTGTCAAAATTGGAGATTGTTAAAGGCAAAGATAGAATTAGTGTTGAAGCACAATCCAATGCTACTTTACTCTTCAAAATCTTATTAAGATCATGGTTAGCCAGTAAACGCGTAATAGACGAATTCCATCTCAATCAACAAGCTTTGAAATGGATATTAGGTGAAATTGAGTTACGTTTCCAAAGATCTCTAGTCTCTCCAGGTGAAATGGTTGGTACTGTTGCCGCACAATCTATTGGTGAACCGGCTACTCAGATGACTCTAAATACTTTCCATTATGCTGGTGTATCGAGTAAAAATGTTACTCTCGGTGTACCACGTCTTAAAGAAATTATTAACGTTGCAAAAAACATAAAAACTCCTTCAGTTCACATATTTTTGAAGGAGCAATATAAAAAAGATATTGATCGTGCTAAAGAAATACAGGCAACTATCGAATACACCACTTTAAAAACGGTCACTCAACGTACTGAAATTTGGTATGAACCAGATATTACAACAACAGAAATTGAATCTGACAGGGAATTTGTAGAATTGTACTATGCAATGGAAGATAAAGATTCCATCTCTGGCTATCAATCCCCTTGGGTTTTACGTTTTGAACTTAATCATGATGTAATGCTCGACAAAAAACTACATATGGACATCGTAGGTAATAAAATCCAAGAGAATTTCTCGAAAGATATTCACGCAATATGGAATGATGACAACGCTGATTTGAAAGTTATACGTTGTCGTATTATCAGTGAACCTGGCAGCACTAAAGATCATATCGATGAGGAAAATGGTCATAAAATTGAGGAAGATGTATTCTTGAAACGTGTGGAAAATAATATGTTATCTAATATAGGTCTTCGAGGCATTAAAGGAATTTCTCGTGTTTATTTGATTGACAGTAATAAAACACACATATATCTTGATGATTCGGGTTTAATACAGAAAGAAAATGAATGGACACTTGAAACTGATGGTACGAATTTGCAGGAAGTACTAAATGCAGACAATGTTGATCATACACGTACATACTCTAACAATTGTGTTGAGATTATGCAAGTTTTGGGTATTGAAGCGACACGTGCCGCATTATTGAAAGAATTGCGTGGTGTAATAGAATTTGACGGTTCTTATGTTAATTATCGTCACTTAGCTCTTTTGTGTGATGTAATGACCTCGAGAGGCCATTTAATGGCTATTACTAGACATGGTATTAACCGTGCAGAAACTGGTGCTTTAATGAGATGTTCCTTCGAAGAAACGGTGGAAATTTTAATGGAGGCGGCAGCTGTTGGAGAAATAGATGATTGTAGAGGTGTAGCAGAAAATATTATGTTGGGTCAAGTCGCGCCCTTAGGTACGGGTGATTTTGATGTTTATCTTGATCCAATATTGTTAAGAACAACAGCACCTGCTGGCGATAGTTCAATTGTAAAGGCTAAAGAAGGGTATGATTATCGTCGTTCTGGTAATATGACTCCGGCTTTGGGTGGCATGACACCATTTACTAGTGCTCGTACGCCCTCTCATTTCGCAATGACGCCAATGTATGGTGCCAAGACACCTTTATCATCATACGATTCTCCTGGACCCAGTTCACCAGCATTTTCACCAGCATTTTCACCTGTTCTTGAAGCAGGTGGCAAATCAGTATCAGTTGGTGGTATTTATAGTTACCAAACAAGTCCATATAATACAGGAAGCCCAAGCTATGGTCCAACATCACCACAATATTCCCCAAGCTCACCTGCTCCAACAGCTTTTGCTCATTCTCCTGGTGGTAGCTCTTTTACACCTCAAAGTCCTGCTTATAGTCCAACTAGTCCTTCATATTCTCCTTCTAGTCCTACTGGCAATTTCGGGGGTGCAACAATGAATGCTTCAAGTACAATTAATGCGTCACAATCAGCTTATAATAGACAGCAAGCAACAAGTCCCACTTATTCACCTACAAGTCCATCATATTCTCCTAGTTCACCAAGTTACTCACCAACCTCTCCAAGTTATACTCCAACATCACCGAATTACACCCCAACATCGCCAAAATATTCACCTACCTCTCCAAATTATTCACCTACTTCGCCAAGTTATTCTCCAACGTCACCCAATTATACACCGACTTCTCCTAGATATTCTCCGAACCAAGCTCAATCACAGCACTATTCTCCAACGTCTCCAATCTACTCACCAACTTCTCCAAGTTATTCACCAACTTCGCCTCATTATTCGCCTACTTCCCCATCATATTCGTAAGTAATTCACATTCATATTGAGATAGGTTTATTAAATAAAAAAACTCATTATTTTAATTTTATTATAGCCCAACATCACCTGTATACACACCTTCATCACCAAGTAATTATGCGCCATCTGGATATTCACCTTCAGGGATTAATGCAGCAACCTATAGTCCAAATTCCTTGTTAAGTCAATCAACGATAAATAGCAATTCTCCCGCATCACCTCGATATAGGTAAGTTATAGATTTTAAATTAATATTTCCAAGATTTGTGGCAGAAAAGAAGAATAACAATATTGTTTTTTTTATTTAGTCCAACTTCACCTTCTTATTCTCCATGATAAATGATTATATCTGGTAGTAAATAACATTAATAAAAAAATTTATAGAAAGTTTTACTTGCATGAGGGGATAATTGTCTGAGTTGGTTTTAATGTAGTTCTTATTGTGATTTCGATTATAGAGAGGATGTTGTAATAGAATTAGTTACATTCTAACCTTCATAAAAATTGTGGTGTATGAATAATGGCTTTATATTAGACAAAACATAAAAAAAAACAATTGTTATATATATATACTTTATAATATTTTTTCTCTCTTTCTTTATTAAAAAAAAAAAAACGAAGAAACAGTTTAATTAGCTAGTTTATTTTCTATTAAATAGCTATAGTAAAACTTTCTTCTTTTTGTTTCGCTTTTTAGGTCTTTTTCATATATATATTTTAATTTTTGATCCTAATTGCGAAAATTACTACGCAAAAAATATATATAACTATTTACACTATATATATTAAAATTTTTTCTCTTATTAATTTTATATATTATGCAAAAAAAAAAAATATAAAATAAAGTAAAACGTAATTCAACAATTTTTTACCTACTAATAATATGTCATCCTTTTTTTTTAATTACATCTCCCTTATAATCTCAAATTCAGGCGGTATTATACAAAGCAAACATGTTACCTATGTCGTACTGTGATGTAAGGTTTGAAGGTTTGAATCCTTCAATGATAGGACGTCTATGTCTTGCTGGGTTATGTTGCAAAGATTTAAGATACTCTCTACTTTTAATTACCAGTCGCTGCCCTTGTTTACGGACTCCTTCCATTGAAACATCACTATCAATATAATTTTTTTGTAGTTCTTCGGATACATCATCTTTTAGCGGTAAAGAGATTGTATTTTTATTCACACCTCCCTCTTGGCTGCTCTCGCCCTGCAAGTTTTTTTGCAATTGCTGTTCTTCAGACTTCACATTGTCATCTGTGATGATAATTATAGAATTTCCACCTGCATGCGAAGGTACAGTAGCATTCGCCTCGGCGGACTTTGATGGTGGGTCAATGATCATTACATCTGGAAGTTTGCTCGATGCAGCCTTCTTACTCGGTTGTTCTCCGTCTACTGATGACTGCCTACGTTTCTTTGTACCTGGACCCCCAGGTCCCGAATTATCACGCTTTGGAAGCTTCAGGTCTGATGGATTTATGCGAGGTTGGATGATGTTCTCAACTTGGGGCTGAGGACGTTGTTGTGGTGGTAAAACTGGGTTGACATTATTTAATCCTGGAGTATCTACGATACCTCTCCTCCTACTCTCCACGAATACAAAATACTTGCGGAACTGTTGTAATAAACTATCCACAAGTTCAAGCCTTAACAAGAATTTATCAGGAAGAGCTTTTAATTGATCCTCGATCATATATTTCATCCCTAAAAGGCGATAAGTGCCCTGACTTGATTTAGTATAATGCCAAAAATATGGCAATACTTTGTCTACTTCATGATACATCGGCTGTAATTCCTTTAATTTCTCCATTATTTTGCTCTTTTCATCATCGGTCAAGTCATGGATTTCGTGATATTGGATTCTTCGTTCTTTGGCACGAGCATCGAGGGTTGCAATCTGATTAAGTGCTTCCTGAGCTTCTTTCTCATTTAAAACTGCTAAATTTGTTTGCGTTACAGATGTAGAAGATGATGATTGTCCCATATTAGGATTTGTTTGTGTATTGGATTGCTGTTGCCCTTGAGAACTAGGGCGGAAAGTTGAATTAGGTATTCCAATTGATGATGCTTGAGTAAGAGTAGGTTTTGCTGCAACAATCGCCGAGTTACTTTGAGCTAACATCGCGTTTGATTGAGCTTGAACTTGAGCTTGAACTTGAGCTTGAGCTTGAGCTGCTAATAATGGATTTACACCTGAAAACAATTGATTTGCTGCTGTAACATTTTGAGCCATGATATTTATCTTATTAGCAGCTAACATCTGAGCCAACATATTATTAGGAGGAGGTCGTGCATTCTGAATATTGATCCCGACATTAGATTGTGATAAGTTAATACCAGTATTTGCCTGTAACATCATTCCGTTATTTTGTTGAGAATTAATAGTATTTGTTGAAACTTGAGGGACATGTGCTGAAGTTCCTTGAACTGGGGAAACATTTTGATTTTGCTGTATCACTGGGCTTAAAATTTTGTTCGCAGCAGCATTAGGATTTCCTTGAATCATCTTGTTAACTTGTACTGGCGTTTGAGTTCTTGAAGGTACTTTGGGCGGCACGTTCGTTTTTGCTGCGGAAACCGTATTCATTG